GTTTATATGGAATTTGTAAAATCTTGTGAAATTGATCTACTATCAGTCAGTCTAGTCGCCACAGTCCTATTCCTTGGTTTCGATATAATCTTCGCTTAAAATAACAACTTACATTTGGTTTTGGTGACTTCAAGAGGATTTCTTTATGCCTTACTCTAATATAAATCATTTTGTTTATTTATGCCCACAGAAAGGGCTCCCTTTACCTTGATTACGAATATATTATAATCTTGGATAAACCATTTCTTTTTATTTAAATATCTAAAAGCTCTATAAAATTATGATACCTAAAGCTCGATGTTATCTTTCTTAGGCCAACTCTTAATAATATAATTTAACTAAATGAACATCTTTCTAATGTAACTATCACTTAGGCATATACCACCCATTAACTTACTGATGAAGTAAGATTTATTAATGTATTGCATACTGGTCAGACCTGATGAGAAGCTTACGATAACTTCATTTCTGCAAAAATACAGTGCCAAATTGATACTGGTCCATATCTTATTTCGTTTGGAAAGGCGTTGGAAGGGATTCGTAGATTGGCTTCGCCGAATACCCAAGGAGGGTTGCTTTGGACTTTTTATATGTTGAATTGTGCGAAATAGACCTCGGCTCACCGTCCTACGACCCCGATTACTCCATTCTGAGCTTCCGTCCATCGTGTTACAGACATTGTCAGAGCCAGAAGCCATTATTCACGAGCAATCACTTAAAACACTAGACCAAGAAAGGTGGCCAATTGAGATCATACTTCTTATACCTCACTTGCTGAGGCGTTCCATGCTTCAAAGATATGGTTTAATTAGCTGTTTTATGCTGTTTCTTCATGTTTGAAAGCGAGTCAAAGTGATGCAGGAGAGGGAGCGGATTTAGTCACAACTTTTGTCTATGCAAGTAAACTTAGGTGCGATCCTGTAATCCGAGGGCTGTTTATTATTTCTTGGGTGTGTGTTCGTGTATGTATGCAACACTCACGATTCAGTTAGCAATTTTAGGTAAAAAAATCAGACTCCAGCTTAGTAAAATCTACGTCTTTTACTCAGTGGCCCTTCAAATTCCCCTCTCTCTCTATATATATATATATATATATTTATATTTATATTTAGTTTCTAATATTCGTCCTTATTCGGGATGTTCTTTATTTTGTTAACTTCAATTAACTCCTTTATCTTCTGTCTAGCTGTGAAGTCCCCATATCCGGCAAAACGTTGGGCTTTAAACCACCCTATCTGGTATCTTGTAGTGACCACATGTTCAGTCACCTCCGATTTCTGAATCCGTAAACCTTTGCGAGCAGTTATGCACTCTGATATTTTCTTATGTATGGGTCGACAAGTCTCCTCCACATAAACACTACCACAAGAGCACCAAACCTTATAACAACCTGCTCTGCATAGGGCGATGACTTGACTTAGCTGGAGTCTGGTTTCGCACCTAAAATTGACATCCAACTTGTAAGTGATGCATACACACACGAATACGCACCCACCTGTCTATTAAAAGCCCCAGGCTTACATCCGTTTCCCCTCCTGCATTACTTTAATTCGCTTACATACATGTAGAACAAACATAAAACAACCAGCTAAATCATAGAATGCCTTAATAAGATCACAATGTAGGATTTCAGCTGGCTACCTTTCTTGGTTTAGTTTTTTTGTTAATTGTTTGTGAATATTGGTTTCTGGCTCGGATGATGTCCGTCACATGATGGGTGAAAGTTCAGCACGGAGTCACTGGGGTCGTAGGACGGTGAGTCGAGGTTTACTTCGCACAATTCAACAGACAAAAGTCCAAGGTAATCATCCTTCGGTATCCAGCGAAGCCAATTTACGAATCCTTTCAACCATCCTTCTCAAACGAAATGAAAGATGCGCCACTATCAATGTACTAAGGTATATTTCGAAGCCCAGCTTTTCTTCATATCTCAAAATATCAAATGGCTTCCAGAATAAAAAGCATTTATTTGTGACAGGACAATCATCCAACCACTCTATCAGTCCAAATGAGCAAGAATGTTTGTCTAAATTGGTAATGTTATTGAATTGTTGCTTAGAAAGAAATTATGTGAAAGGTCTCACTATTTCCCTCCATTCATCTTCATTATATCTAGGCTCGTCAGATATCACTAGTCCTACGTGCGACAGCTATGGCTCAACTATCACCTCAAACTCATGCTTCTCTGCTGCGGCTATTTTGTCTCATTCGCGACCTCATACTACCATTGGTACACCTGGATGCAGCGTTCTGAAGCCTTTCTCCACCTATGCTTTACCTATGGCTCGCTCACCAAGGGGTCTAGACCGGGCCGGTCATATTTGCCGTCTGTGTGGAAAGTCGTTTGGACATAAGAGCACTCTAGACCGACATACCAAAGAGCGCCACGGCGGTGCTCCTTCAAAGGCATGTCCATTCTGCCCTTTGGCATTTTATCGACAACATCATCTGGATTCACATTTGGCCCGCCGACATCGTGATTTAGAAGTACCTATGACCCCTGGTACTCCAGTACCTGATGGTCGTCGCAGAGGCGCTTCGAGGGCAAGTGGAGCGCTGGAAAGTGAATCTTTACGCTCTATGACCCCTCCTCGATCTGTCGAAGCTGCAATTGTATCTCTCTCAGATTCTCAGGAGTTGGTGTGCCCTCCAAGTTCTGGTGAGACCGACTCTCGTCTACTTGATACAGAGTTTATTCAAACTGGCGTAGACCAATCCCCGGCTGGTTGGCGCTCTTTTTTGCGGCGACCTGCAAATTCGGTTACCTTTGAGGCTGTCACGACAAAACCAGGCCTTGGAATTAGCCGTGGTCCGAGCGAATCGAGGGTTTGGGGACCAAGGACCAGTCCCGTCAGTGGGGTTGTGATACCATCACCTATATCTGTTCCAAGCGGATTAGCTTCGATTCCAGATCCTAGTGAGTTTATGTCAGTATCCGGCCATATATATATATATATATATA